GAGAGGGTGAACAAACGGTGAAGCAGAAGAGTCGAACAAAGGGTTGAGGTTGAAGAGCCAAGTATTGTCGAGGTTGAAAAGATTCCGGAGGAGTCGAATGTGCAAAAAGAGAACCGGGAAGAGGTGAAGGAAAAAGTGAAAGAGACACCAAAAGCTCTTCCACCTATTCCTAGACCTCCTCCCCCATTTCCTCAAAGGCTCGCGAGAAAGATTGATGATAGCAAACTTGAAAAATTCTATGACATCCTCAAGCAATTAACGGTGAATATTCCATTTGTGGAGGCTTTTCAAGAGATGCCGGGGTTTGATAAATATCTAAAGGATTTGATCACCAAAAAGAAGACCGCAAAGAATGAGGTAGTAAACATGACTCACCGGGTTAGCTCTATTATTGCCACAACCAAAGTCCAAAAGAAAGAAGACCCGGGAGCTTTCACCATTCCTTGCACCATCGTTTCACGCGATTTTGCAAGAGCCTTATGTGATAATGGGGCTAGCATTAACTTAATGCCTCTTGCCATCTATAAGCAAGCGGGGTTAGGTATGCCAAGACCCACTAGTATGAGATTGCAAATGGCCGATCGGTCAATCAAACGCCCGGTGGGAATTGTCGACGATGTACTTGTAAAAGTGGGGAAGTTTCATTTGCCCGCTGATTTTGTAATTCTTGACTGTGCGGTTGATAAAGAAATCCCTATCATTTTGGGGAGACCATTCCTAGCTATGGGAAGGGCACTCATGGATTCGGAGAGGAATGAAATTAAATTCCGGGTGAATGATGAAGAAGTCACATTTCAAGCGTGCAAGGGTATGAAACTACCCCATGAGTATGAGAGCATTTCAGTGATAGATGTTGTTGATGAGGTAGAAGGTGCCGTCAGAATGAAAATGGAAGAACAATGCCTTGGTGAGGCATTGACGGCTATCTTGTTTAACTTTGATGGTGAAGACATGGATGGGTACATTGAGTCGGTAAATGCATTGGAGGGTCTTGGATCATACACTTATACTCCGGCAAAGCTTTCGCTTGACTTGGAGAATAGAGCCACACCTCCCGCAAAGCCATCAATCATTGAGCGCCACAACTAGAGCTCAAGCCACTTCCCCCGCACCTAAGGTACAAATTTCTTGGCTCTAATGATAATTTACCCGTAATTGTCTTGTCTTTGTTAAATGATGTGCATGTGAAACAATTGTTGGAGGTTTTGAAGGAGCATAGCCAAGCCATTGGATGGACAATTGCGGATATCCGAGGGATTCCCGTGGGAATTTGTGAACACAAGATCCAATTGGAGAGCGACACGAAGCCAAGTGTGGAACATCAACGACGGTTGAACCCGTCAATGCAAGAGGTGGTAAAGAAAGAAATCATCAAGTGGTTGGATGTCGAGGTTGTCTACCCCATTTCCGATAGTTCGTGGGTGAGCCCGGTGCAATGTATGCCGAAAAAGGGAGGCATGACCGTAATTAAAAATGATAAAAATGAGCTCATCCCAACAAGAACGGTAACCGGTTGGAGGGTGTGTATGGATTATCGGAAGCTCAACAGTGCCACATGCAAAGACCATTTCCCTATGCCTTTTATTGATCAAATGTTTGATCGGCTAGCGGGAAGGTCATTCTATTGTTTCCTTGACGGGTATTCCGGCTACAACCAAATCAACATCGCAGTGGAGGATCAAGAGAAACCAACATTCACTTGTCCCTATGGAACTTTTGCCTTTAGTCGGATGCCATTTGGTTTGTGCAATGCTCTGGCTACTTTTCAAAGGTGCATGATGTCCATTTTCTCCGACATGGTGGAGGATTTTCTAGAGGTCTTCATGGATGACTTCTCGGTAGTAGGTGACTCTTTTGAGCATTGTCTTAAGAATCTTAGACAAGTGCTTAAGAGATGTGAGGAAACCAACCTTGTGCTAAATTGGGAGAAATACCATTTCATGGTGGATGAAGGCATCGTATTGGGGCATAAAATTTCAAAACATGACATTGAGGTTGACCGAGCTAAGATCGAGATTATTTCCAAGCTTCCTCCACCCACTTCCGTCAAAGGTGTTCGAAGTTTCTTAGGGCATGCCGGATTTTATAGGCGGTTCATCAAGGATTTTTCCAAAATTGCAAATCCTATGTGCAAGCTCCTTGAGAAAGACCCCAAATTTGTGTTTGATGAGAAATGCCTCAATGCTTTTGAGGAATTGAAGATAAGGCTCACCACGGCTCCTATTATTGTCACACCCGATTGGTCTCTTCCTTTCGAGCTCATGTGTGACGCTAGTGGTGTAGCTATTGGAGCAATGCTTGGACAATGTCACAACAAGGTTCTCCACCCGGTATATTATGCAAGCAAGACACTCAATGGGGCGCGAATGAATTACACGGTAACTGAGCAAGAGCTTCTTGCCATTCTCTACGCCTTTGAGAAGTTCCGAGCTTATCTGTTGCGGTCCAAGGTGATAGTGTACACGGATCATGCTGCTCTTCACTACCTTATGGCAAAAAAAGGATGCAAAGCCACGGTTGATTTGATGGGTCTTATTGTTGCAAGAGTTTGACTTCGAGGTCAAGGATCGCAAGGGAACTTAAAATCAAGTAGCGGATCACTTATCAAGGCTTGAAGAAGCAGGGAGACCAAAGGGAGATCTTGAGATCAATGATGCATTCCCGGATGAGCACATCTTGGCACTATCTAGCACTTTTGCTCCTTGGTATGCCGATATTGCTAACTATTTGGTGAGTGACCTTATTCCGGAGGGTTTGGAGTCCTATCAAAACAAGAAGTTCTCGAGAGATTGTCGGCAATATTATTAGGAAGAGCCATACTTGTTCCGTGTTTGTGTCGACAACATCA